AAATCGGACAATAACCACGCCCACATCCCATATAACGGTAATTTTCGGAAATACGAAAACTGCGATATTTTAGTAACTACTGAAGATTATTCACTCAAAATTGATATTTACAACAATTTTTAGACGAAAAATAAGAGTAGTATAAATTTTTGGAAAATGGAAAATTTCTTTACCAAGAAATACGTTTATGGTAAAATTTTGGAAAATGGGCGGGGCACCGCCCACTTATTATCACATATATTTATATCGGTAACCGTTCTACCAATTTGTACCAAACTCGGTGTGGTTATTGTGATTGCCACATGAAAGCAAAGAGTTGAAAATTATTGAAATCGGACTAAAATTACGGCCGCTTTTCAAATAACGGTAAATTTCAGAAATGCTTGAAACTTGAATATTTCGAAATTGAAGGACGCTAATTTACTCAAAAATTGATACACCCCGGCTTACCATCTAGCGGTAGGTTTCGGAAAGGTGAAAAAACATATATTTAATGTTTGCGCCGGGTATTTAATGTTCGGCTCCGCCCGAACTTAGACTTTCTTACTTGTTATTTTTATTTTATTAATTATTAAGTTTTTGAAAGTTTTTTTTCACGCCGGGGGCCTCCATACCAGACACGGTCGCCATTTAATGGCCTTACCACACACCACACTTAGCCTGCCGAATAGGTGCTCCGCTTCTGGTAGCTGCTGTTCGATGGAGCCCTAGCGCTCCGCTGAAAATTTGCACACAAGTGCTACTGTTAGCAGATTCTGCGATGCCGGACGGTGAAGCTGCTTGAGTCGTGTGGGCAGGTTATACTTTTTGCTGCCGGGTCTGTACTTGCCCGAACTGCGAGTTCAACTTCTATTCTTCCTTTTATAGACCCACCTCCTGTAAAATTTATTGAATTTTTATTGTAGAGCTGAAGGCAAATACTCTGGTGTGTACATAAAATAAATAATATGCAATATAGAATGGAAATTGAAGAAGATGTAGATATTAATGACTCGCCAATCTATTAATCACATTCAACATTCAGCCAAAAATGGACGCTTCTCTAGACGAGATCCGTTTTCGATGGCCTGCTGGCTTTAGCTCAGCTTTTGTTGTATAAAATGTAGGTAAAATTTAAAGTTCCAGTGTAAATACATATCGTGCATATAATTTAGTATGTAGGTATTGTAAATGATTTTCGTTTTGTCATTTTTAAAATGAAGACAAAGGAACTTCCTTAGAAGTAAAATAAATGT